TTGTTCTTTGCAAATTTTAGTTTAATCCTTTTCCTTTTATTATTATTATTATTATTATTATTATTATTATTATTATTATTATTATTATTATTATTATTATTATTATTATTATTATTATTATTATTATTATTATTATTATTATTATTATTAATATTATTGTGTTTCAATAGTTTTTGTTGTTTTGTCATAATAAGAAATCAGTTTGGGACCATTCTCTTCATGCTACAATATATCCATGTTATGCTGCTGTCAACTAGTCATGCTGCTGCCCTGTACTAAAACTTGCTACCAACCTGTCATAACAGTCCAAAAAAACGGTAACGTAATATAATGTTTATTCAAAAACCAAACTTGTTGACACCAAAAAAAATCAGATTGTCCCATTATAAAGGAGAATACATTGCATCAGATGAAAAAACTACACAGGAAAATTACCCATCATTTAGCCACAGACCTTAAAACCACCAACAACTGCTAACTTCCTTCAAAAAAATACTCCACAATATTCTCTTTGTTTCATCACTTCATCCAACAATAACAACAACGAAATCTCTACAATTCTCAACCAAAAATCCCTCCAGCTTCTTCTCTTGTGATATACTCCATCTACTGTCGAACAATAACAACCTTCAGTGCAACAACTTTTTTTTTAGTTTCAATTTCAACAAATCTCAGAAGGAAAGGGGGAGAAATTTTAGTTTACCTGTCGAAGTTTTTTTAGAAACGAGAACTCGTCGTACTAGCGTTGATCGGGTGAGTCTTTCTTCTTTATATGCCCTTCTATTTGTTACCATGCCCTGTTGTTGTTTGATTGTTGCTGTAGTTACTATTTATCTTGATGTCGTTGTAATTGTGAAACTATGGAACTGCTGTGATATCAAACCAAGTGAACCTGAAAAAATAAAAAAATCATTGCTGCTGTTTTCAAAAGATAGAAAATAAAGAGTAAGGATTTTGAGTTGAAAATTGAGAATTCACATCTTAAATACATAAATCCTCATAAAACTTCAATACTTTTTTTCACAAATCTATAACCTATAAAAATAGAGGCCAATAACCAGAAAAATAAACATACTGATATTGGAGATCATAGACAAGAAGAGAGAGATCAGTAGGAAAAATAGAAGAGTACCTCGCTTTTTTTTCAACTAGATCTTCAATACACCCTGTATATTTCAAACGCCAAATCTCTGCACAATTCTGGAACCCTCTAAAAAAATCATCATCCTTGAACTTTACTTTATTCTCCCTCTGTTCTGCCACGAACAACAAACCCCTCCACTTGTTCTTCCAAACCAGCGCAATCACTGTGATATTCGACCTCCCTCCTCTGTTATCGTATCATCCTAAGCCAACATTCATAGTCCATCTCTACAAACATCAACAAAACATCCAAAATCATAAGGAAAACGGATTAGAAGAAAAAAGATGCTGAGATTAGAAAAAAACCTTGTACCTGAAATTGAAAACCCTTAACCCTTTGCAAAACCCAAATTCACTGTCATCTTCATTTACCTGTCTGAACTACTCCCTTAAACTCCTCATAACCGTATTCAGCTTCTCCGCCGTAATCGACCCGTTCCCATCCATATCAAAAACCGCAAACGCGTCCTTCAAATTTTCCAAGATCTCATCTTCCCTCTCTCTCAATTTCACTAGATCGCGCCGCGCATAATCAACACCAGTCTGAATCCATCACGACCACCTCCCGCCTCCGACTTGCCACCCCCACGTCTGTTCTCCAACAACATACAACTCTCATTTCTTCCTGTTTGCAACTTGCATCGCACCGCCCAGATTCCATAAATGAAGCATATTGTAAAGATTTTGACGCTGGTAATTGCCATCACTGCTTTAGCGTGAAGAAGAGAGAAGTGTGGAATAGGAGACTGATAGAGGTAATAGGTGTTGTTAAGTGATTAATCACGTGAGAAACAAGGAGTTATTTGTTTTAATTGAATTTAATTGAGAATAATCAGAATTAATTGACAAATTAATTGATTAGATCTTCCCAATGATAGCTGGCGGCGCCTCTTTGTAAAACTAGGGTTACAAAAACCCTTCCTTTACCTCTCCAAAACCGGGTCAGTCCAATGGGCTATTGGCCCAATAACTCAACTTTGTTTTCCTTTTTGTTTTAAAAGAACGTAATAATTAATGAATAAGTGAAACAGTTTAATTGGCAAGGCATATTACTAGCAAACTAAGTGTCCTGGGTTCAAATCTTGGTTGGGTCACTTATTTATCTTTTATTTCTTTTGGCCATATTATTTAATACACTTAGTTAACTATTAATCTACTTTGCTGTAAAATTATTAATTAGTATAAAAAACACATAAAAACATTTAATTAAAATTTCACCTTTATTTAATTTTGAAAACATACTTTTTTCTTTTATCATATCTTTGTGTTGTCGCTTATTTAATTATTCAAAAATACATGTTTCATGATTTAATTTTGTCATGTGTTTAATTATCAAAAATCTATGTTTTCTTAATCTTCATGTGCTCTTTTATTATTTATTCAATTTTTAAGATGCATGCTAGTATGATTTAAATTTTATTATTTAATCGTTTAATTATAATTTTAATTAATTGATCGTTAATCCGTATATCTCTCGTCCGTTTCAATCCAAGGGAATTGTTTAATTTTTGTCGACTTCATGTCACCAAAAAAAAAACATTGTGCGAATACCCTCATTTCATTAAAACTTAAGATAATTTTTCCTTAAAAAATTCATTTTATTTTCAAAACTTATACCTTTTAAGCAAAAACTTCGACATTAGGTCGTCGTACCTTCAAAGACCCGTCCGTACCCCTTTTTCGGCCAAAACGATTTATTTTAATCAAACGATCAATTTTAATAAACAAATATTTCAAAAGGTTCCTATAGAATACTGTAGATACATTGGGTGCTAATACCTTCCCATTGTATAACCAACCCCCGAACCATAAGATCTCTTTTCAAAAACGCTTTGTATTTTTATTATTATTTACATTGCATATTTAGGGTTTTATTTCGCTCTTTTCCCTTTTCCTTTGGAAACAATAAAGCGCGGTGGCGACTCTTGCTTTTGTGAGATGAATTAATCAATAATTCGATCTCCGATTTACCCCGCTACATTTTTTATCGCTACAAGTACCGTAGATGTTTAGGGTGCTAATACCTTCCCTTTTCATAACCAACCCCCTTACCTTCAATCTTTCCCCCTCTTTTTGGGTTATTCTCTCTTTTCCCATTCATTTGGAAACAATAAAGCGCGATGGCGATTTTTATTTTGATTTGTATAAAGTCTAGTCAATCCAATGACTTAGTCTTGAACATTTCTACCGCTACAGAAAAAATGGCGACTTCACTGGGGAAAGATTGACCTCTTGCTGGTCCATCCCTAAGTGGGTTAAGCCTATCTTTGTTTATATCTGTCTATGTGCTATTGTGGTTTATGTGTTATATTTTGTATATATGTTTGTTTGAATTTTCCTGGTTTTCACGGTGCTTGGTGATTACTCATAAGTCCTATAATCGGACTTGGGCAAACTTTAAGATAGGACGGGCGGTATAGTCTTGTTAACTTTGAGAGAGTAATCCCCAAAAAGGAGGCATGAGATCCCCCACTCAGTGGAGGCCCCTTTGAATGTAGTGTCATTTACCGAGTAATCGGGAAGACATACTGCTTTCGACCTAGGAGCCTGCTGAAACTGAGGACCGTAGAATACCAAACCCATCTTGGCCTTTTAGGTGTAGTGCGGAAGCTATGACAGAGTAATCCGGAAATAGTTGTCACGCGATACTACACTCGGACGAGTCTTTCTTGAGAATATTACTAATTACCGAGTTAATCGAGAAGTTGGTAATATCCGAAGGAAGGATGTAGACTTTGGAAACCTCTAGAACCTTGTCTGGAAGGTGATAACTCTTAGACTAACACCTTATGGGTGGTACCTTAGACCTCATGCTCGTGACGTTGAACCTATGAACCCTATATGTGTGATCTTGTGTGTGATTGTTGCATCATGCATCCATGCACTCATAAGCATGTTTTGAAGAAAACAATATTTCAAGGGATTTAAAGGTTGACTATTTGTGAAAATCTCAGGTACTTTTAACCATGGATTCTGGAAAGAGAAAGATCGGGAAATACAGTTTCAAGGATCCCAAGATAGATGAGTTGGTAAGTCTAATTCCAGAGATCGAATGTTCTGCATACTTTTGAAAGAAGTATGGATCCATTATTCCTCTCATGAAGCTGAAGATGAAGGAGGGTATTCTCTCGACCTTGGTCCACTTCTATGATTCGATGTATCACTGCTTTACTTTTCCCGATTATCAGTTGATGCCTACAGTGGAGGAATATTCCTATCTATTGGATTTACCTGTTATCGACCGTGTTCCATTTACTTGTTTGGAGGGTGAGCCAAAACCACATGAGATAGCTGCTTTGATTCATCTGGGGAAGTCTGAGGTGGAAGCCCATATGACTACCAAATGAGGGATTAGAGGATTACCAGCTGAGTTCTTATTGGAGAAAGCTTGTTACTTTGCCAGAATGAAGAGTACGGTTTCTTTCTAAGCCATCTTTGCTTTACTTGCTTATGGATTATTCTTATTTCCTAATGTGGACAAGTTTGTCGACATTAACTCTATAAGGATTTTCATGATTGGAAACCTAGTTCCTACACTGTTGGGTGATTCTTATTACTCTGTTCATCTTCAGAGTTCTTATCATTGGGGAATGATTATCTGTTGCATGCCCTTGTTGTACCGGTGGTTTATCTCTCATATGCCTCAGTCTGATGCTTTTTGGGATGTCAAGAAGGAACCCTATTGGGCTCCTAAGATCATGTAACTTAATCACACGGATATTGATTGGTATCATCGAGCTTATCAGGATGTGGAGATTATTGACAGTTGTGGTAGTTTCCCCAATGTACCTCTTCTTGGTACAAAGGGAGGAATTAACTATAACCCTGTTCTTGCACGACGACAACTTGGTTATCCGATGAGGGATAAACCGATTAGTATTCATTTGAGTAGTTTATTTCTGAAGGAAGGAGAAGACCATAGGGAAGCTAGGGAGCAGATTGTGAAGGCTTGGCGTCACATTCATAAGAAGAGTAGGAAGGATTTGGGACCTAGGGGTGCTGTTTCTTTGGAGCCATACCTTCAGTGGGTCCGGTCGAGAGCCATTCAGTTGAAGATGCCATATACTCGGGAGACACCCATGCTTGATCTATTTGTGAAGACTACTCCTCCCTTATTAGATGATTTAGAAGAGATGCAGCTTGCTTTGGTCAGGATGCAACAGGAAAGGGATGCTTGGAAGAACAAGTTCCAGACTTTAGAGAGTTCCTACAGAGCAGACCTGAAGGAGAAAGACGATTTGATCGAGATCCTCGAGAGTCGAGCGGTGGAGTCTATGGAGAGGCAAGGGGATTTATTTTCTCCTAAGCCTCAAACAGGTTCTGATTACTCATTTCCTGATCCAGATGGTTGGAAGGAGGTTGCCATCAGACATGTGGAAGAAAACCAGAAGTTGAGGGCTCAGATTGCCAATCTCACAGGGAAGCGCCAGCGTACAGATTGATCTTTATCAGTTCTTTTTCTCAGGATTTTTAGATTGTATTTTCATCTTGTACTTGGGATCATTGAAACTTGTAATCCATTTCGAAGTTATTATAATAAAAATTCTTCAGTATTTCAAATGCGTTATTACTTTGATGTTTGTGATATGTCTATAAATCTTAAATCCATTGAAATATTAAATAATGAAGTAAAAATAATCATGTGCATTGCATATCATGCATTATATTGCATATATTTCTTGCATTCGTTATGCATATCTAGGTGCCTTACCCAGCTTCTTTACTTCGTTCAGCAAGCTGACTCATCATTACAACACTCGGGCTAACTTCAAAAAGAAGATGGACAACTTAGAACAAGAGAATCGCGAGTTGCGCGAAGAAGTTTCTGCTTTGAAGGCCGGCATGGCCAATCTGACTACTCTGATGGAAGCTCTGGTGGCTGCATAGAATCAGCCACCGAGTGTTCAACCTCAACCAACAAGGGCAAGTACTGAAGTTCCAACTATTCCTATATCTGCCACTCCGGCTGTTGTTCAAAACCGTATGCCTCAGGGTTATCCGTTTGGAATGCCAGAGAATTTTGCACCTGAAGGTTTCAATTTGGGCCCCCAAGATGCTCCAGTGGTTCAATCTGTTGTTACTCCAGCACCTCCTGTGGTGCATACTGTTTCTGTTGCACCTCCTTCGGTGAATTTGGTTCTGTTTGTTAATGAAGATTGTTTGTCGTCCTTTCCCTCCGCCTAGTGAAGACTTGGGTCTTTATTACAGAATGGATGATTTCCAGCAGCAGTTTGATAGAATGCAAAGAGAGATGAAGGCTCTTAGGGGAAAAGAGCTATTTGGGCAGAATGTGAATGAGCTGTGTTTGGTCCCGAATGAGAATGTCTACCCACACCGATGATCAGCGTCTACTGATTCACTTTTTTCAGGATAGTCTGACTGGCGCAGCGTTGAAGTGGTACATGAGTTTAGACAGCTCCAACATCCATACTTTTAATGATTTAGGAGAAGCATTCATTAAACAATACAAGTACAATGTGGACATGGCGCCCGACCGTGACCAGCTTAGGGCCATGGTTCAGAAAGACAGAGAATCGTTCAAAGAGTATGCACAGAGATGGCGCGAAGTGGCTGCACAAGTGATTCCTCCCATGGAGGAGAAGGAAATGACTAAAATTTTTCTGAGAATGCTGGGCGCTTTCTACTATGAAAGAATGGTAGCAAGTGCCCCGAGTGATTTTACAGAGATGGTAGGAATGGGTGTCCGCCTAGAAGAGGCAGTAAGAGAAGGCCGTTTGACAAAGGGTGAAGGATCCAGGGGTGTGAAAAAGCCAGCTTATGGGTTTACAAAGAAGAAAGAGGGGGATAAAAATGTTGTCATACAAGAGAGGAGAGTGAACGCTCCTAGAAGGAATTATCAGCGTCACCAGCAAGTTGCCTCAGTTACTCCTGTTATGAATGCCGCTCCAACTACCGTTGCTTATCAAAGACAGTCCCAGCAGAGGAACCAAGGGAATAATCAAAGAAGGGAGAACTATGACCCTATTCCCAAGAGCTATGCAGAACTACTACCAGCATTGATTCAGAAGAAGTTGGTCCAGACACGACCACCTCCCGCCGTACCATCACCATTGCCTTGGTATTATAAATTAGACCAGACGTGTGCCTTTCATCAGGGAGCACCAAGGCATAGTGTTGAAAATTGTTATCCTTTGGAGACTGAAGTGCAAAGGTTGGTGAAGTCTGGAATTCTATCTTTCAAGGACGTGGGACCTAATGTGAAAGACAATCCTCTATCCAAGCACGGGGGAGCGAATGCTGTAAATATAGTGGCCGGTTGTCCAGGCGACTTCCGAATTTTTGACATTAATCTGGTTAGAGGAGATTTGGTGAAGATGCACGCAGACCTCTATGAATTCAGTTATTATACACATGACCACGCCGGTTATGCTGTTTGCAGTATATACATACAGGGTTTTGAGAAGATAAAGGCTGATTTACAAGAGATGATGGATGAAGGTTTAATCCATATAATCAGGCCTAGGGCAGAATATGAAGAGGAACTGAATATGGTTTCCCGATGTCCTGGTGAATTCAGAATTTTTGATGTAGAGTATTTGAATGAGGATCTCGTGCAGTTGCATGCTACCTTCTGCCGTACTGCTGGTCAGGTGGAACACCAATATGGATCTTGCATAGTTTGCTGCCGAGACCCCCCAAGGATGTCCTATTGTGAGAGAGGGTGTCCAATTACTGTTGGACAATGGAACTATTAAGATCACAGGTCAGAGAGATGATTATCATGAGATTGATATGGTTGAAGTTTGTTTGATGGAAGAAGAGTCAGAGGAAGAGTATGCCTCCGCAGATGAGTATTTCTCTTCAGATGAAGTTTTATTTGCCGGAAATGACCTTTTGATGGCTGATTGTGTTGAGGAAGGGGTAAACGTCATTGTACCTTGTTTTGGTGCACCCGCTCATCTTGAGGTGGAGTACCATAGCAAACCAGTTGTTACCCCATTAGTAATTAGTCTTCTAGGTCCTATTCCCTATAAATCAGATAAGGTTGTGCCTTAAAAATACAACGCTACAATCTTAGAAGATGGGGTGGAAGTTCCCATCCAGCCAATGCCCGATGTTGGAAATATAGCTGATAATAGCAGGGTAACCCGTAGTGGTCGTGTGTTTGCGCCAGTTGTTCGAAAAGATGTTGTTGCTGGAAAGAAAATTGCTGAGGACGATGAGCCTAAGAAGGCTGCAGGAGAGACTAGTGGAGCCACATTAGAGAAATAAGTGGATGATATTTTGAAGATAATTAAGATGAGTGATTATAGAATTGTAGATCAGCTATTGCAGACTCCTTCAAAGATATCCATCCTAGATTTATTGATGAATTCCTCTGCTCATAGAGAATCACTGATGAGAGTACTAGACCAAGATTTTGTGGAGAGTGACATGACACTAGATCAATTCAGTAGTGTAATTGGAAACATTACGTCATGTAACAACTTGAGTTTCTGCGATGATGAGTTACCAGATGAAGGGAGGAACCATAACCTGGCCCTCCACATATCTATGAACTGCAAGAATGACTCGCCATCCAATGTGATAATTGATAACGGATCCGCTTTGAATGTTATACCGAGGAGTACCCTCATGAATTTAAAGTATCAGGGAACACCTATGCGCCCGAGTGGCATCATTGTGAAGGCTTTTGATGAGTCGAGGAAATCTGCCATCGGTGAAGTGGACTTGCCCATCCATATAGGACCACATTTGTTTCTGATAACCTTCCAGGTCATGGACATTATTCCCGCATATAGTTGTTTGCTAGGACGTCCATGGATACACGAAGTAGGGGCTGTCACTTCAACTCTGCATCAGAAGCTAAAATTTGTGCATGAAGGGAAGGTAGTGATCATAAATGGGGAGCAGGTGTTGTTGATATCCCATCTATCCTCTTTCAATATTGTAGAAGCGGATGAGGCTGCTGTTGGAACCCAGTTCCAATCCCTATCCATTGACAACATAAGGAGCAATGAGAATTCCTTGGTTTCGCTGAAGGACGCGCAGCAGGTTGTGCGCAATGGTCATAATGTAGTTTAGGGACGACTTGTGGATCCACCCGTGAACAAAAACGGAGCTGGTTTGGGTTTCTCTTCAAGGAATGACAAAGGCGAAAATTTGAAGTCAAAGTCTTCTGTGAACAATTATCATGATGTTTTCTGTAGCGGAGGCTACCTCCATCCAATTGGTTCTGGAATTAATGTTGTTGAAGAGGATGAAGCAGAGCAGGAAGTACCGAATTATGTGACACATGGAGTCCGAGTTCAGAACTGGGTCACCATTGATGTTCCTTCTTGCATACATGTTTCAAAGTAATTTGTTTTGTTAATCTATTTCTTTCTTTTGAAAAGCTTTCACTCTGCCCAAGGTGGAAGTATTAATGTTGCAGGGCTTATCTGTTTGCTATAACTTTTAAGATCATTAATAAAAGTTGTCTTTGCTTCCAAAATTATGTCTTTTATTTTCTTTTTTTCTTGGGAAATGGTAATAATAAAAAAAAACCCTTTCAAAATAAATAATAAATAAAAATTAATCTGCATGATCACTTGTTATATGTGTCAGTTTCTAAAATCAATCATAAATCATATGTGCAGATTAATTAAAAAACCCGTTGAATACAATGACCTTGCACCCTCTCCAAACTTTGATTATCCTGTGTTTGAGGCTGAAGAATAAGATTATGATGAGATTCCAGAAGAGGTCTCACGGTTTCTTGAGCACGAGGAAAATACCATTCAGCCATATAAGGAGCCTTTAGAAGTGATTAATTTGGGTTCAGAAGAAGATTCGAAGGAAGTCAAGATTGGAGCATCATTGCATCCTGATGTAACGAGCAGGTTAATTGAGCTGTTGAAAGAGCATGTGGATATTTTTACTTGGTCTTATCAAGATATGCATGGTCTAGATACATATATTGTCGAGCATCGTCTGCCGTTGAAGCTAGAGTGTCCGCCAATTAAACAAAAGTTGAGAAGAACCCACCCATATATGGCAATAAAGATCAAAGAGGAGGTCCTAAAGTAGATTAATGCTGGTTTTCTTGTGACGTCACTGTATCCTAAATGGATTGCCAATATTGTCCCAGTACTGAAAAAAGACGGAAAAGTCCGCATGTGCGTAGATTACAGAGCTCTAAATAAAGCTAGTCCAAAAGATGATTTTCCATTGTCTCACATCGACATGTTAGTGGACAGCACAACAAAATTCAAAGTATTTTCGTTCATGGACGGATTTTCTGGGTATAATAAAATAAGAATGGCTCCAGAGGACATGGAAAAAACAACTTTTATCACACCCTAGGGAACATTCTGTTACAAAGTGATGCCCTTCGGGTTGAAGAACGCTGGTGCAACATACTAGAGGGCTATGGCAACCCTATTTCATGATTTGATGCACAAAGAAATTGAAGTCTATGTTGATGATATGATTTCCAAAT